TGTTGTTGGTTCAATCAGTGAGACCAGTCCCATGAGGGATTCTTCAGAGTTTCTGAATGTTGATCTTGTTCTGATTGGATCATCCTTCTTTCCCAGGATCTTATCTTCTGGGTGAGCTATGCTGCTTCTGGATAACCTTTTCTGGAGTTGATCAACAGAAGGTACTGGGGCACTTGTAACATTTCTTTCTGAAGTTGTTGGAGTGTATCTGTTGGTAACTTCTGATGAGTTGATTTCAACACCTGTGAATTCAACTTCTATATCTGCAAAAGATTCATTCTGCTTTGACTTTTAAGGGTCAAGCTTCATCAAATCTAACATTGATTGACTCTTCAACAATTTGTGTTTCTGTATTGTATACTTTGTACCCTCTTGATCGTTCAGAGTATCCTAACATAATACACTTCTGTGCTTTAGAGTCAAACTTGTTAAGATGATCTTTAGTATTCAGAATAAAACATGTGCATCCAAAAGGATGGAAATAAGAAATGTTGGGCTTTCTGTTCTTCCACAATTCATATGGAGTCTTTTCCAGAATAGGTCTTATATAGATTCTATTCTGAATATAACACGTTGTGTTAATTGCTTCTGCCCAGAAGATCTTAGCAATGTTAGTCTCATTGATCATGGTTCTGGCCATTTCTTGCAATGTTCTGTTCTTTCGTTCTACAACTCCATTTTGTTGGGGAGTTCTAGGACAAGAGAAGTCATGCGAGATGCCTTTTTCATAAAAAAATGTTTCAAATTTTTTATTTTCAAATTCTCCACCATGATCACTTCTAACTTTGACAATTCTAAGATCCTTTTCATTCTGAACTTGGTTACAGAATGCAACAAACACAGAACGTGACTCGTCCTTGTGTCTTAAGAACTTTACCCATGTCCATCTGCTATAGTCATCTACGATCACTAACCCATACTTCTTGCCACTAACAGACACAGTTTTCACTGGTCCAAATAAGTCTATGTGCAAGAGTTCTAATGGGCTAGAGATGGAAACAACATTTTTAGCTTTAAAAGAAGGTTTTGCAAATTTTTCTTTCGGACATGCTTCACATAGAGCATCTGAGCTGAACTTTAGATTAGGAAGTTCTCTGACCAGATTGAGTTTGTTAATCTGAGATATTCTTCTCATACTAACATGCCCCAATCTTCTGTGCTAGATCCATTGCTCGTTGTTAACAGAGAGAAGACATTTTACATTCTGACTTTTAGTTCAGAAAGTTTTATCTTATAAATGTTGTTTTTCCTCTTTCCATTTAATAGGATAGTTCTATCTTTCTGACTAACAGCTTTGCATGAATTTTGATTAAAGATTATATCATAACCGTTATCACTTAATTGACTTATGGATAACAGGTTATGCATCAATCCATTAACTAAAAGCACATTATTGATAGAAGGAAGATTACCATTACCTATTGTTCCAGAGCCAATGATCTTCCCTCTTTGGTTGCCTCCAAATCCCACGTAGCCTCTAGGTTTAAGTTTCAGGCTTTGGAACATATGCTTTCTTCCCATCATGTGTCGAGAGCATCCAGAGTCCAGGTACCATGACTGGTGTTTTAGCCTTGCTTCTAAAGATATCTGCTACATATATAATTTTGTCCTTAGGTACCCATAACTTTTTGGGTCCTGGTTTGTTAGTTTTACCAAAATTCTGTTTGAATTTTGGTTTGGCAGAGTAATCATTACTAGTGTATTTTAGGTCATGTGTCTGCCCGTATGTAAAGTGTGATTTTAGTGGTGTGCGTCTTATAACTAGGTCCATGACTTTCTTAGGTGGAGATACCTTACCTTGGTATCCTATACCTTTTCTTCCATTCCTGCTAACTCCATGGATCATTGAAGCCATCTTGCTTCTATCTATGTTTTTAGCCAGAAACTTCTGAAAGCTGTGATCATACTCTTTGATGATCTTATCAGCATTACTGGGAGTCTCTGAGATTATTTCCTTCTGAGAGTTTTGTAAATCATTTTCTAATTTTAAAATATTTTCTTTTAACTAAGAATTTTCTAATCTAAGACTCTCAGTTCTTTCAGAGTCAGAGACAAGATCCTTTTTCAGGTTCTTGAATTTGACTCTGATCTGCTGATACCTTTCCAGAATTTCATTCAGACTTTCTGCAAGCTCAGCTTTAGGAAAATTAACAGTGAAGTCAGGGAATACCTCTTTTGTGTCTGATTCTGAGTCTGAACCAGAAGCTTCGCTGTCTTCTGCCACATTTGCCATAAGAGCGATGTTGGCTCTTTCATCATCTGACTCTGAGTCAGCATCAGAAGTGTATGAATCGTCCCATGTTGCTATGAGGCTTTTCTTCTTCTCCTTGAAGAACTTCTTTTTCGGCTTCTTCTTTTGAAGCCTTGGACAGTCACTTTTATAGTGCCCTTGTTCATTGCACTCATAGCAGATGATGTCTTTGTTATTTGACTTTCTGTGACCGGAGGAAGCTTCAGATTTTCTGTGTCCAGAGGAGGACTCAGACTTTCTGTATCTGGAGGAGGATTCATTCTGATTTTCTGATCTTCTCGGGTTTCTGAATTTTCTTTGTCTCTGCTTCCACAGTTGATTGACCCTTCTGGAGAGAAGAGACAATTCGTCTTCTTTTGATGAGGATCCATCAGAGGTTTCTTCCATAGCCTGCAAAACCTTAGAATAATATTTTTGTTAGATTTTAATGCTAGAGGCTTACCTTGCTTCTGAGGCTCGTCTTCTTCTAGCTCTATCTCATGACTTCTAAGGGAGCTAACAAGTTCCTCTAGAGATATCTTGTTGAGATCTTTAGTCAGCTTAAGTGAAGTGACCATTGGCCTCCATTGCTTTGGTAGACTTCTGATGATCTTCTTTACGTGATCAGTAGTAGAATATCCTTTGTCAAGAACTTTCATCCCAACAACAAGAATCTGGAATCTTGAGAACATTGCTTCTATGGATTCACTGCCTTCCATCTTGAATGCTTCATATTTCTGAATGAGCACAAGGACCTTGGTTTCTTTAACTTGTATGTTGCCTTCATGCGTCATCCTCAGAGAGTCAAACATATTTTTGGTTGTCTCTTTGTTTGAGATCTTCTCATATTCTGAGTATGAGATGGCACTGAGAAGTATTGTTCTAGCTTTATGATGGTTTCTGAAATCACGCTTTTGCTGGTCAGACATCCTTTTTCTATCTATCTTTTGACCATTTTCATCCACAGGATGTGTGTATCCATCAATTACCATGTCCCATAGATCAGCATCATGAGCCAGAAAGAAGCTCTCAATACTGTCTTTCCAGTAGTCAAAATTTTCTCCATCAAAGACTGGAGGTTTGCCGTTGATTCTATCCTTGTCCTCATGATAGTCACTGCTGATGTTTTGGCTTGGTCCCACCATAGTGTTTTTCTAAAGCTTGGATCTTGTACTGACACGATTAAGTGTATAAACTCAGAACCAGGCGCTCTGATGTCAATTGAAGAAGTGAAAAACACAAGAAGGGGGTTGAATTGAAACTTAAAATCAAAAGCAGTAGACACAATATTTTTATCCTGGTTCATTTGATCTCAAACTACTTCAGTCCACCCGCCAAGGTGATTTCGCCTCTCTCCAACGAGGACTTAATTCACTAATCAAAGCTGATTACAATACTACTTTGACAATTGCCAAAGTCTTCTTGAGTACAACCACAACCCGGTTTATCTCAAGGAAAACTAGCTTAATCAAAATAAAATGATTTACTGTGTACTGTGTTTTTCGTTACAAAAATTGAATCACTACTGTGATATATTACACAATTTGAGCGTATGAGTGAATATGAAAGTTTGCAGTGTTTTTGATGTATAAGCGGTCGTATACCAAAATCGTAAACGATTTGTCCTTTACACTTGTTTATATAGGCGTGGAAATCTTGTCCAACATAAAGCGTGATATTGGACACTTAATGCTATTTCCATATTGAGAAGATTCTTGTCTGAATGAAGTCGTTGCATATGATACTGTCTTAATTGAAAAGTAACACTTCAGAACTAGAATCTTGCATGCTGCTTTTACTTCAGAATATTGATGACTCAGAGATGTGAAGATCTGATGGTATATTAGACTTCTGTTCAGAATCAGAGTATCCTTTACGTCAGCGCAGATTCTGATCATCATTCTTTAGAACATTCTGATTACCTCAGCTTGAAAGCTTATGTAGCTTAATTTCTGATGTTGTTTCAGTCAGAACTTATGCATACAAAATAACACAAATTTAGAGTTCATATTTGTTCTTTGTGTTTGTTATCATCAAAACTCTAATTAAGGGTTGTAGAATCAAACTATGTTCTAATAGAAGAAAGGTATGAAACTTCCAGAGATAAGATGTTTGGATAATTTTCTCTTATATTTTCTCCTTTGTAGTTGTTTATTGTCCTCTTTTTCCAACTTTTCTTGGTTGTACATCTTTTATCATCAATGAAAATTTTCAGTCTCTGTTAATAGAAAAATGTGCTAATTGTTTTTCTCACAAATAAATTTTAAAATTTTTTTCTTTTTGATTATGACAAAAAGGGGGAGAAAGATAATGATAATTTTGATATATCTAATTCTCTAATAAACTCATTGCTTACATTCTAACAATATACATATGCAAGATTGTTTTAAGAATGTTGTTTTAGGAACAAACTGATAAGCAGTTTAGGAGATTCTGATAAAGAACTTCTGATGTCTTAAGAATTAAAATCAATCAGGATCAGACATAGAACTTATATCATTTACAAGGTTCTGAGATAACAAATCTATTAAAAAGATGTTTTGATAAAGTTAAGCTCTGATAAGCATTAAATAGGATCTCATTTTTTTTCAAATAAACTTATATTTCTGATCATTATCATTGGAAGAAAAAAATTATATCTATGTAGTTTGGTACAATTACCAAACAAAGTATGCACTATAAAATGGGCAAATAAAATGAAATGAGTAGTTGAAATAAGATTAAAAATTGAAAGGTACGTGTATCTATAATTGTACTACTAGAATAGATTTCAGGTATTTAAGCCAGCTACATATGCCACTCCAGTAGACGGCAACCATGTGGAACCCGATATGAACTGAGCCACCGTGAATCTATTAGCTTCCACGGTGGACGTAATAACCCGAAAACCAGGCCAGGTTACCCGTTGGCCAATAGCTCCACCCGGGCCATAATTCATGTATTCACCATAATACAAAGTGTCTAAAGCAAAAGTTGTGTTCCATTCTAACCACCCACGTGGATTTAAATGATCCCCCATGTATGATAACATGTAGACAGTTCTAGAGTATAGTTTCCATGGACGGCCCAGATATGTTGTGAAGTTTCCCTTGGATGCTTCTAGATCCTGTGTGGCTAGGATTCTACAATTATGGATTGATATACCAGTGTTCTGATTCGGGTCTTTTCTGTTTTGGGCTGTGATGGTGTTCTTTTGCTGGGCCATGGGCTTTCTTGCGTAGAGGCTGCAGTTTTGAAAAACAACTGCAGCATTGCCGAATATGAAGTCTACGGTGCCGTATATGTCACATTCGCGGTAGAATTGACGATTGGAATGTGCATACATTGTGTCTTGGTATCCGATGATGTTGCAACGGTAGACCACCGCGTGGTCTGATCCTACGCGGAGGGCTACCGCTTGGTGCTTTGATGGTCCGGCGTAGTTCTCGAATGTCATGTCCCTTGCAATGAAACCTGGACCACTAGCAGCTGCACAAAAAAATCTCACGTAAACTTGAATAATACGATGAATATTGCATATTTAATAAGCTCATATGATTATATATTAGTATTAAGTGGTTGAAATGGAATTATCGATAGTGGTATTGTTTTTAGGAATTAGGAAATTTCTATCAATTTATTATTTAGTGCCGGTGCCGGACAAGAACATGCTATTGTTTTTCAGCTGGATAAGCAATGCCTGACCCACTAACAATAATTTGGTTTCAACTACTTTAATTTGGAGCCATTAGTTTTTATTTTCAATTGAATTATTGGTACTACAAGAAAAAGTTCACTGACAATATGTTTGTCTCATGAGACTATTATGCAACTGTGGAAATATAAAGGATAAAATAAAATTACGTGTTAAGATAATGCTGAAGTAGAATTCACTAAGAGAGGTAGGAAAAGTGTGCTAGGTTTGAATAATATTAATGCTATGTTTGGCCTAGCTTTTTGTCAGCTTCTCTTCTCAGTAAAAGAAGTTGGATCACACATATGACTAGGTATAAATGTCTAACAATAATTATAAATAAATAACTTACTAATTTAAATGTTTATGTCACACAACTTTTTTATAAGAAAAATTTGTCAGTGAATAAATAATTAAACTGCCTAGCTTGTTAAATATATTTAAAATAAATGAAATATAAGTAAAAACCAATTACAAATGTCAGACAACTTTTTACTCTATTTTTAAAGTTCTTTTGTTAGCTTTAAACTTTTAGGATCAGTTTGAGAGTTTCTTTTGAAAAAATATTATTTTTTAAAACTTTTTAAAAATACCATACATATTTTATGATATAGAAGCAAATTTTTTTGAAACATTTTTTTCTAAAATTCTAAAAAAAAAACAACTCATGCCTTAATGTTATAGCTTTCGAATGTTGTAAGTAATTCATGTTTAAAAACTGTTGTAAGAATCAGAAATTTTTGATGTTGTTAGTCAAAAACAAGATTGTTCAGAAATAATAAATTTTTTGAGATTGTTAATCAGAAACAAAAATTTATGAAATTACGTCTAAAAGTATGTTTAGTTTGTAGAGTTTTAATTCTTTTGTTAGCGTAACATAACTATTAAATTTAGTCTGCTTAATTATTAAATTTACTTTTTGTTAGGACCTACATAATAATTTATTTTGTATATAAATAAATTAGTAGTATCTATTATAAAAATATTCAATTATTCTTTTTTATAACTTTATAATCATCGTTACAAAATTTTAATATTATTTTTTCATATTTTTTCTTCGTCTATTAACCTTATATATTATCATCAAATTCAATAAAAACCAAGTTAAATGCATCTAATAATAGTTGATTCGTTTAATTTCAGTTGGTACATCAATTTTTTATTTTAAAATTAGATATACAGTTGGAGTAGTAGACATGTGAGTAAACAGCAAGAATCTTGAAATATGACAGTGTGGTCTACAATAGCAGCGCTTGTACGGAGTCTACCTCGTTTCGTGCATGGTTTTCAACTTTAGTTTCGTGTTTTTTTTTTTCTTCCCTCAATTGTTTTAACAATAAAAGGCCAAAATATGTCTTTATTATAAATAAATGATTTTCTGTTAAATTAGGATTTAAATACCATTGGAAAAAGAAAACGGTGTGAAAATTTACCAAAGGAAGCAGTGTGAAATGTGGTCAAATTTTGCATAACATTTTTGCCCCCTGTGATCACAGTCTTTCCCTTTCCGTCCCCCATGATCATAACATTAGTTTTCTTCCTTCCAATCTTTAAATTGTCTTCTTCATACCTGAAATGTATTTTTGCATTAATTAAAAATAGTATTAGTACCACTTTCTTTATCTATAATTGTGAAATTGTCAACATAGCACCAAACACACATATCTTTCATGTATAGTACTATTCTATTAAATCAATTACTACACTATCACAACCTAATTAATTACATTAAAAAAACACAATAACCTTTTGTACGATAGATCCATTTAAAAAGCGATTTGTATTGTCACTAATCACATGAGCACACTTATTGTAACATGAATGGTCATCATTGTCAACAAGTCAATGACACAATCCAGATTCCACTAATGAATAGAAAAATTAGTTTTAACTCAATAAAAATAATAAATAAATTTTTAACTAAATCAGTTTAATTGATAGCTATACAAAAGACTTGTTACATAAACATCAAATACAGAGACATGTGGGTTCATGCTGACCAGGCTACTTAAAAAATTAATGAGTAAAATATTAGTACAATTTAATTTACCTTCCTTCTCTGATATAGATAATGAAGCGTCGGTTACCGTATTCAGGTATCTTTTTAAGAGCTTCCGATATAGTTTTCACCGTTCCGTTACCGTCTTTAGAAACTATCACATCAGCCTGTAACGCCGACACCGGCAAGTCCAACAATCTTCTCTCTCGTTTTCTCAACCATATCGGAAAATCATTTTCCGGCATTGTCATTAACCGTCTCTTATTGTGTATAGGAACACCGGAGAAATCATCTCCGGCGCCGGAGTTAGAGAAAATAGCTAAGCAATTACTCACTAGCTCCGACAAGTCCTTTATGTTATTCGCCATCTGATCTTTCACTGCACCGGAAGTGTCGGTAAAACCCTCAGCACACGTGTCTTGGTTTGTAAGTGCAGCGCTCAGCCACGTGAGTACATCGTCGGATGAGGTAAGCGGCTTAACGGCGCCTTTGGAGGAGGAGGAGGAAGGTACGACGGAGGTCAATGCGCGAGTGAGAGCGTCAACGGAGTCGTCAAGAAGTTCGAGACAATCTTGATAAGCGGCGCGGATGCGAGGGTTCATGCCGACGGTGGAGGAGATAGAGGCGGAGGAGTAGAGTGCTTTGGAGAGATGCTGTAGCGTCATGTTGAGGGAAATGTGGATAAGGTCTTTCTCTGTAGCGATTGTGGATCCAGGATATTCCAGAAGAGAGGTTTCACAGAGTGAAGGGAAACGAGTTTTGCTACATGTTCGAGAGATTGCTTGCGTTGGATTACGTCGGAGAGATGGATCTTTATGCTGGTTTCCGCCGCGGGTGTGGATTCCAGTGAGCATTGCGGCGGAAACGGCGCAGGCAACGATGAATAACACAGCAAGGAGTGATAAGAAAATGATTTTCTTCTTTGAAGAAGATCTTTGTTTGGGATGGATTATAGGTTCGGAGGGAGTCGAACCTCCAGGGTCGGATAATCCTAACCTACCATAGTCCATTGTGTTTTTTTTTTTGGTTGAGTGAGTGAAAGAGAGAGTACTAGTAGTAGTTTTGGTAATTATGCAGTTTGTTGTGAAGAGTAATGAGTAATGAATGATACCTTTTTATATAAACTATAAACGACGGTGCTTAGTTAGTGTAATGTTGTAATGTGTGTTTTTAGTGAGGTTGGTGTGAGGTCGATGTCGATGCGGGAGTAAGGAATGAGCTGGCTGCTACTTTGAGACTTTCACTCCCACAACATATGCCCACTGAACTCAACACTCATTATGGATTGGGGCTTCTTGTTTCTATTTCTGTTTGTTTCTCTATATTACTACTGCCACTTGCTTTTGCTTGTTTTGTTTTCATTATTTCAAATATATGAGATCAAATGTGACGTGAGGATGAAGAAATTTGGGTCATGTTAAGTTAAGCTTTATTAGTTGATCTATGGACAAAAAGGGTGGACCATACTGCATGATCTCTTAACTAATGGGATTAAGATGATACAATATTAACTCTTTAATAATCTAATCATTTTCTTCTCATTCTATTTTCTAGTTCTACTAGTCTTTCATTTTACTTTTCCACTTTTTCATCATGTTCAAAAGGTGTGGATAATTCCTTCCACTGATCTTCTTGATTTAAACCTAATTTTAATTGTTAGAACAAAATCTTGTTTGAACAAGATTAATCTTCACTCGATTGATGTCGCAACCTTTAACAATACTTTTCATTCAAGTGATGCATACACGCTCACAAGGTTTCAATGTTTAAATTTGTTCCTCATACTTTAGAATTGAAAAGAGAATAAAGATTACAATAGGAGAGTGTAGAGGAAGAAGAAGGGTGTATATTATCGATCTATCTCTTTTACAATGTCAAGAGTCTCTTGCAATCTCAATTTTTCTAACCAACTTCCTAAACAGAATTTTGTTGTATAACATAATTTTGAACCACTAACTAACTTGTTGCTTGTTTTCGAAGTAACTTGAATGTACACTATGAATTACACTTTCAAGACATCACCTAAGTCAATATCTAGACTCTCTACATTGATTATGCTTCTCTACCTTTTGAGCAATTCAACTTGCAGAACTTTGGTCATGATGTCAGGAATTTGATTCTCACTTCTGCAACGCTCCAAGTACAACTTTCCATTTATTACTTGTTCTTTGATGACACCAAAACACACGATATATTTAACTCGATTTATGCATGTTTTATTGACATTTTGTTTTACATTTCACTATTATGCTGGTATTTTGTTTATGTTTCAGGTAATTGACCAAATGGAAGTCGTATGCAAAGAAGCGAAGTAAAACGGATGAAAATATGATATTTTACACTAAAGGCGACCACCATAGCGTTCACCACAAAGATGGTCATCAGTGGTCCACGTGCAAACAGTCACAAAGACCGAGTCTTGGCAAATTTTAGAAAATGGTATTTGCCATTAAGGGTGTAACGGTCGCCACCCCTTGAAAACATCCAACAATTACATTTTGACTTTGCTTAGTTTCCCATGCAGCCCATTCACCCATATATTTTCTCCCACGACCTTGGAAACTTCCCAGTTGATTTTTAGGATTTTGGAACACTATAAATAGGTCCTTTATTCACTTTAGTTTATCGTGTCTTTATTTAATTGCACACTCTTCTTCTATCTTTCTTTTAATTGAATGTTTAAAACTTATTTTACTATGTCTATTTCATTTTATCACATAATCGAATCAATCATTTTGGTTTATGTTATAATCATGTCTAGCTAAATTTATAAGTGTTGGAATGTGAGGATTGTCGATTCGATGGTACTCTGAATCATTGTTCTTTGAGAAATACTATTGGGGTTGTTGGTTTTATTCACAACTTTTCTAAAATTAACTTTGTCGGTTACTACAAAAGTAGAACCATTTATACGCCAGGTAAGATCGGATGTCGTTCAACACAAAAGATTAAAGTTGTTAAGTAATTAATTGATAAAAAACGCGAAAGTACTTTATCAATTAATTTGGAAGTCTAATATTTCCAGAAAGTGATTTTAAAAGTATTTGCGAATACGTGTGTTTATAGGTTTAAGATCCAGTTACCTGAGCAAAAGCCTGGAGCCCTTTTATGTTAAAGTTTCCAATCAAAATTACTTTTCAACTGGGTAAAGAGTCCAATTTCTTAAAATAGATTTTACTACTTTAACGCGTACAACGTCTACCACCGTGACAGTGGACGGTATAATTTAGAGAGTAAAATTTGGTTCTGATTACACGAAAGTGACAATTCTTGTTTAATTAGCTATTTTCAAATTAGAAAATATTGTCTCATAGTAATTCAATTTATGAACAACAAGAGGATCAACAAATTGATGAGATCCATATTCCAACGTTGCATTTATGATATTAATTCAAGTATTTATTTACTTTATTTTGCACAACTCCAACCTTTATTTTATTAGTCTTAGATAAACATCGTAGTGATAGAAAATGATAGCTTGACTAATAGGTCTCCGCGGGTTCGAAACTCTTTATATTACTCTGATATTTTTCGTACGCTTGTGAAATACCCCATCATTCTCTAAGATAGTGGAATCTCATTTCAATGTGTTTTCTCCTTTCATGTTCTATCGAGTTTTTGGTCAAGTTGATAGTAGATATATTATCAGTTCTCATAGTCATTTCTCCATGATTATTTCCTTATATATCATCAATTAGGTTCACCATTCATGTTGCTTGACAGGCACATAGAGAAGGAGTTATATATTATACTTCACATGATGATAATGCTACAACCGGTTCTTTTTTTAAGATCTAAGCAACCGGTGCACCACCTGGCATAAACACATAATCAGCTGTAGAGTTTTCATCCTCAGTATCACCACACCAACTTAAGTAAGTGTATCCCACTAGTTTGCGTTCATTTCCTTTATCTACTGCAGGAAAAATGCCATAATATTGTGTTCCTTTGAGATACCTTAGTATCCTTTTGGTGGTGTAGGATGTGGCAACTTTGTCTTCTGCATGAATCTATTCTCCATGCATACATTGTATACTAAAGCATGCCTTGTGTGACAAAGATATCTCAATGATCGAATAAGTCTTTTATATTATGTTGGATCAACATCATCTTCACTTGAATCCTTTGTCAATTGCAGTCTTGGTTTAACGGTGTTGAAGCATAATTGTTACCCTTCATCTTAAATCTCTTGAGTATCTCACTAGCATATCTTCTTTGATGCATCAGCCGTCCTCTACCACACTTGTAGGACTTAATTCCAAGGAATTATGAGATGTTTCCAAGATCATACATCTCAAACTCCTTGCTCCAGTCAACTTTGAAATCTCCAATCTCCATTTTGCAGCTGCCTGTTATCAACAAATCATCTGCATAGAGACAATAAGTAACTCACATATCCTTCTTCTAGCATACACGCCATGCTCATTTGTACACTTCAAAAAACATTTTTCTCTTAGAAAATTATCCATTTTCATATTTCGAGATCTTGGAGCTTATTTAAATCCATACAATGCTTTATGCAGTTTGTACACCTTAATTTCTTGGAATTCCTTCTTAAAACCAACTGGTTGTGACACATAAACCTCTTCATCTATAGGAACATTCATAAATCATATTTAACATCCATTTGACACATTGAATAGTTGTTCATATTTGTTAAACCAATAACCAAACTGATTATTTCAATCCTTGCAACTGGTGAAAACACCTCACCAAAGTTAATTCATTCTCTTTAAAGAAATCCTTTGGCCACAAATCTTGCTTTGTACATGGTAACTTCTCCTTTGGGATTCATATTCATGTGTTACACCCATTTCATATAAATTGTTTTCTTTCCTTGTGTAAATTCAACTAGTGACCAAGGTTTGTTGGCCTATATGGATTTGAGCTCCTCCAGCATAACATTCATCCACTTTGAATCCTTCAGTGCTTTAGTTAAATTGACAGACTCAATGTCTGCATAAAAAGCATAATGTACCATATCAACTTCATAATTGAACATATTATGTGATGTCATCACACATTCTTGCAACCTTGCTGGCATGTTTCTTGTCCTTTGAGGTTTGTTTGTGCCTGCTTGAACCCTGCTGCCTTCTGATTTAATCTCCTTGTCAACTTCACTACTTGGTTAATCACACAGGATTCTTAATGATATGATCATTTCAGTCCCACTCTTTTAGTTCATCAATGATCATATATCTCTGTTGATCACAATTTTCATGTTCACAGGATCAAACAATTTGTAGCCACCAGTTGAATAATATCATATCAAGAGCATTTGGCTTAACTTGGTGTTGTACCCAAAAATTTGCCCTCTCATTTCTCAGGAAATCACCCTGGATTCTCAAAGTTTTCTCTTAAACAAATCCAAGCCTTAAATTATCATTTCTTTCCAAGCAAGCCATTTACAAGGGAAAAGTAGTCATTTGCAAGCTAAAAAGACAAACTTTGGTTTTTGGATCAAAATCAAAACACAAAAATCATATTTCATCAAGAAATGTTGGAATATGAAGTTTGTTTCGTCAAGAAGCTCAAAGATCAAATTCTACCTTGGAAAAGTTAAATTCAAAATACTTAGAATTTTTCTAAAGTATTTAAGAAAAAATGACACTTCAAAACTTATGAACCAACCCCCAGGCAGGAGCGGTCAGAAGTTGCAAACTTGGCTCAACACATAATATTCAGTTAGAATGTGGCTCTTCCGCAGCTACACCAACTCAGTCAAAAGTTGTAAACGTGGTTCAGCACGTAATCTTCAATCAGAACATGGCTTTTTCAGCAGTTACGCAAGTTCAGTCAGAATTTGCTAGAGGAATGCAAAGAAAGCAACGAAGCCTGAAAGCTCCTTCAGAACATGCTGGAATCAGAAGGTAAAGGGGTCAGAAGATTGGGTGTTACACTAAAGCAGAATCTCTAAGTCTAGAGTTTTCAGAGGCAAATCAAAAGAACATGTTGGAAAGTCTGGAGAACCCTCAGAATTTGCTGAGCCAGCAGGATACTAAGATCAGAA